CGGTAAGGTGGAGCTAATACGAAGAAAGGTCATTGATGACATTAGCTTGAGACCTAGGTTTTCTAATTCGTGAATAAGAATATCATGGGGAATTGAGGGGTATACATTTGATAGAACTGAACTATCCACTGAAGTAATATATTTTCTAGCTCGAATTGGTTCATCATTTATTATTACACCATCATGTACCTGCATAAAGTTGTCCACAATTTCTTTGCTCGCTAGATACATGCATACTTGGTTATTGGACAGCCTTGAAGAAAATAAGATGTTTTTGGGCTGTATAAGTGCTCCTAGTAGTGTGAGGTAGTCCTGTAGGTGTAATCCATCCTTTGAAGAGAAAACGGTCGCTAGTTCAGGAATAGAGTATGTATGTTGGCTTAGATCTTTTGAGTAGGATTTAACTGTGTAAGTATGTTGTGGTACAGAGCTAATTACATTGGAACTTCCATCTGATGTTACCGACATGATGAATCATCTATGTGCTTTCTTAACAGGACTGTATTTTATATGGAATAAATAAAATAAAGGCCGGTGCTGTTTATTTTAAAATTAGTTGATCGGTCTGGTAATTACCAAATTAGCTGAATAAGAATAGAATAGAATTTTTTATGTAATGTTTATATAAAGTTATTGCTCTATAATTCTCGCACCTCTCCCGATCTCTTCTTTTATAAATAGGCACTATAATACCTCTGTTTTAATTATCTAGTGTGTTTGTGTCCATATTTGTTTTATTAGCTTGTTTATTTTTTTGTGTAATTTTTTCCGACGTATTTTAGTAATTCCTTCCTTTAATTTTATCTTCTCCTGATGTTTTTTTGTTTAGGAGGTTTTTGTTTTCTTCTTGTTCTTCTGTGCAGATTTCTGTTTCGTCGGTGTATTGTACTATTGGTCCAACTTCTTTATCGTAGTGTGTTTCTTCCTTAGTGAACAGCATTTTTTTTTAATATTCTTTTGATATTCTGCTGATCTGTTTATTATAGTTTGTTTCTTTTAGTTTGTTAGTTCTCTTGTACCTCTTTATACCGGACGTATTTTCGTTGCTTTAACTTTTTTGTAAAATTGTTTTATTTAGTGATTTTTTCTGTCTTTTCTATTTTTTATTTTCTATTTCTAATTTGTATTCTTACCAATTTTGTTCTGATGGGTTGTTGATAAATGATATTCCTACAGAATTTTTTGTGCTCTCTCTGTTTCGCATATTTACTCATATCAGTCTTGATTTATTTTTATTGTTTTTTGTTTTCCAATACTTCATTGGTTGTGTTATTTATTTGTTTTTTAATTCATGCCATCTTTCGTTCATGTTTGTGGCTTGTCTCATAAGGTTGGATATATTTTCAACCATCTGTTTTTCAAATTTTTCTCTTGTGTCAATTTCTGCTAATGCTTCTAGGTTTCATTTATTAGAGTTTATTTTAGTTTAATATCTTGTTTTGTTTTTTAGCGCACCCATTTTTAATATAAGCAGGAAGTGGTCCGTGTCCATATTTGCCCTTTGTAAAAACTGTTTGGTTGCTAGGACGTGGTCAATTTGATATTTACTGTCAGATGGATGTCTTCAGGTTACCTTGTGTTACCTCGAATGTTCAAATTTTATCAATAGGAAAGTAATATTTAGTGTAGCTGCAAAGTCTTTTGCAAATATAAATGAGTAATATAATTTATAGAATAAATTGCAGTCAATGTCAAAGTTGTTATATTGGACAAAGTCAACAGTGGCTTAAACAACGTGTCACTCAACACAAAAGTGACTGTAACTTACGAAAAAACTCTTGTGCCTTAGTAGACCACCACTTAAAGACAGGACATAACTTTGACTTTAATAATGTAAAAATATTAGAACAAATTGATAATTATAAAAATCGACTTTTCCTTGAAATGGTACACATTAATAAAACTCCAGAATCTATCAATTATAAGACAGACACCAACCATTTAAGTAATATCTACTGTAATATACTAAACAATATATAATATGATAGATCTTCATATCAGTATCTAACAACATCAGACCAATAACTGACTACGTACCATCAATTACATTTTATAGATCAATTTACCATGTTCCTGATTCTTTCTCAATATTCTACTTTTGCACCTTATTATATGGATAATACTGTCACAATATGTAATTGTTTATTAAAACTTATTCGCTAAAAATTGTACAATGGGAATTCACTCTATAAAATATTGCTGTTACCATAACTCCCAAATAAATTAAATCAAAAAAATGTCATTTATCTAATTGGATATGTTATCAAAATTTAAAATTTTTAATCTTAAGTTGTAAGTATTGAAATATTCATTTTGTTTACATATAATAATTATAATAAATTTACAGTTTTCTCCTGAAGAAGTCACAAAATCGTGACGAAATATTGAGAAATAACAAATAGAGTTTTATTTCACACAGACCAATTGCTGAGACTACAAATCATATATATATATATATATATATATATATATATATATATATATATATATATATATATATATATTGTTATGATATGTAAAATCGAGAAAAGTATTGGTTTGCTTAAAATATTTCAAAGTTCAAAAACATTAAAATAATTCAGATAAGTCAAACAATAAACTACAAACATTTCGAAGAATGAAAGTCTTTTAATTTTGGATTACCTGTATTTAACAAAACGTAAGATATGCATAAATTATTTTCTTTGTTAAAATATATTTGTGTGACGTGAATAAGCTGAAGTGAAATTCTAGACAATGGAAACGGGTTTTTCCAAATAAATGTTGTGCAGTAATTAGGACAATAGAATAGATTTTAGAAAGATATGTTTTTGTTAGTTTTTAAGAATTGGTAGGAAAAGATTTTGTAAATAAGTTCTAAATTAATTGTAGGTAAAAATTGGTGTGTTATCGAAATGAAGAAATGGGAGATGTATGACGCGTTTTGATTGGATGAGATTGGAAAAGGTGGGAGGTTTGGTTTGAGAATGAGACGTTAGTTAGTTTAGGAAGAAAAATTGATAGTCAGTTGAATTCCAAGGGTAGAAGGCGAACGGCCGTTGTTCTCGGGTAGTTTCCCAGAGGTAGGAAGCAGTAGCAGTGAAAGTTTGTGAGTTTTCGTGTAGTTAGTGTATCTGATAAAAGCTGATCCAGTAAAAGATTGTAAGTTATATTTTTTACTTATATTCCAAGAATCACTGTTCAGGCCAACGAGAGATTCAGTTTATCGCAAAGAAAGGATATTCCAAGAGTCATTTTTCACTCAGGCCAACGAGAGATTCAGTTTATTGAGAGAAGAAGCAGCCAGCATAATTTGAACGATTCGTGCATTTGAAGGAGTTCATTAAGGACGATAAACTTGCAATAATTTGTTGTAAGATTGCTGATTACCTAGGGAGCGGCTGAGAGTAGATAATATAGTCTACAAGGAACAAGGATTTGGACTACTCATCATCAGAGAGAGATAGTTTTGTTTTCTGCAGTTTTTTCTGTTACTGATAATACAATTTTTACACTTAATTTAGAAAGGATATAAATATTTTGATTAGAAGATTTAGAACAATATTTGGGATTTTGAGATATCAACTAATATTGTTTGTACCATTAATTTTGAAGGTTCACGTACGCAGAACAAAATTTTGAGAATCATTATATGAGATTTTGGTATTGAAAATTTTTGAGTGTGAATTTTATTTCATTATTTTATTTCAATATATAATGTTAGATTATGTTTTATATATGTTGTGTTATATATGTTTTTTATTATTCCGGTATTCTTTGGACCTTACCTTTCACATGTAATAGCATAGATATTGAAGCACGAATAGAACCCTGATATAAGAGACTTAAAAATTGTGATAGAATCATAATCATATCATTTAAATAATTTAATTAATTAATTAATTAATTAGCTAATTAATTGCTTGGCGCACCAAGACTTTGAATATCACAATAAGATATATATATATATATATATATATATATATATATATATATATATATATATATATATATATATATATATATATATATATATATATATATATATATACCTCTTATACGGTATACGGTTTTAAACGGTAGACCGTTTAAAACGTTCTACCCAGTTGCCACTCCTCTCGTTCGTCCATAAGTCTTCTTCTATATCTTTGTCTTTCATTTCTCTTTTGATGCCTTCTCTTCAACTAAGGCGAGGTTTTATTTTTTTTTTTTTTCTACAGTGAGGGGTCCACATTAAGACTTGTTTTGGGAGACGTTCTTAAGACATTCTCTGTACATGACTGTACCATCTGAGTTGTTGGGTACCAATATCGTCTACTATTGTAAGTTTTACTTTCATAATTTCTTCTATTCTCTTTCTAGTCCAGATTTTCCAGCTGAACGTCTCCAGAAATACATTTTCGTTTCCTCAAGTTTTTTCTTGTATATGTTCCTTATTTGCCATACTTCACTAAGGTAGGTAATTATAATTTTAATGATTGTTATATATCTTGTGTTTGTTATTACTAGAGATTGAATGATCCCAAAGGATACTATTGAGAAAAGAGATTGCTTTTCTTGCTTGGTCGTTTATCTCCTCAATTGTGTCGTCTACGTTTCCTTCCTTTGTGATGATCAGACCTAAATATTTATATGTGTTGCCATGTTTGATAACTTCTCCATCTTCCAATATGCGTTCCTGTTGTTTTCCTCCGATACACATATACTCGGTTTTTTGGATATTAATTTCAGTTCCCATTTTTTATACTCCTCGAATAATTTTCGAGTCATATACTCAATATCTTCATAATCTTCGACTCGATCTCCATGTCTTTTAACGTTGCCGAGAAAATTCTGCTAAGTTCTGGAAGCATTTAGCAAAAAGAGGCAAACTATATACAGGACAAATTAAATTGTAAATTTAACCTAATAAATATATGTCTACAATTAAGTTCACAAAAGTTATAAATTATTCGTGTTTTAACGTTAGTGTCAGAAGAATAAATTACTAAATTATTATTTTACTGTATTATTATTTCTAGTCAAACGATAAACGATTCTATTTTTATTGAAAAACACAAGGAAACTGTGATCGGGGTAGTTGAACCAGAAGAAGTTGAATGTGGTTTATGCCCAACAACGTTTTTGGAAAGAATAAAAAAGAATGTGGAGCCTAAAAAGGCTGTCAAGTCAGATGTATACAAAAAAGTTCAAGCTTATAGTAAACGAGATATTCCTGAATCTTCTATTGTTATATCAAAATTTAGTTGGTGTTCACAAAAGGTAAAGACATTTTTAATATTATAGAATTTTAGATGTTTATAAGAAAACTCGAAATATATTATAGTTGGTAACTATATTAATATTTAACCTCTGCATCATCTTGACCTAATTAAAAATGTTTATAAACTGACACAAAGAGTTATTAACATTTAAAAAAGAAAATAACCTATTTTTGATCTTACATGATTTGCTAATATGTATGAAATTAAAGGCAATTATATGATTTTACTAACAGATTTTATTTTCATAAATAATTAAAGCACACGGTCGTTAAACCTGTTAACTTACAAAATCTAAAATTTTCAGATGTCTGCACAAACAAAGTGCTGATATTATAGATTGCATACTTTTAATTCTTACTGTAACATTATAGACATTACTAACTGAAAGCGCCAACAAGCTGTTATGTGACTTTAATTTTATTCACTGTCCATAAAACCTGTAAACTGTAGTCAGTGTACCCAACACGTTGTAGATCTTGTGCATGTTTTTTTTTTGAACCTATTCTCTATCCTTCCATTGTTGGATATAGGTCTTCCCCAGTTCTCTCCATCTTTCCCTATCTTGAGCTGTTCTCTGCCATGTGGGACCTCCTTGTTTCCTGATGTCATCTTTCCATCTTATCTGTGGTCTGCCTCTTGATCTCTTTGCATTGTATGGACGCCACTTTCCGATGGCATTGTTCCATCGTCCGTCTTGGAGACGTTCATTGTGTCCAGCCCATTTCCATTTCAGTTTTTCTGCTTGTTCTATCGCGTCTACTGTCTTTGTTCTGGTTCTGATCCACTGGTTACGTTTTTATCTCTAAGTGATACACCCAACATTTGTCTCTCCATCGCTCTTTGTGACTTCCTTATCCTATCCAAATTGGCCTGTGTAAATGTCCATGTCTGTGCTCCGTAGGTGAGCATCGGTATGATACAGGAGTTATATACCTTGCTTCGTAAAAATAGAGGGATTGTTTGATTTTTTAGAACGTAAGAAAGTTTGCCGAACGCTGCCCATCCTATTCTTACTCGTCTCGATATTTCGGCTGTTTGATTTTCTCTATTAGCTCTGATTGCTTGTCCTAGATAGATATACTCATTTACCTGTTCTATTTTTTCTGTTTTTATTTTTATTGCCTTTTGGTCTTCCGTGTTTGTCATTACTTTTGTTTTGTTGAAGTTAATTTTTAGGCTTTTTTGCAGTGATTTTTCATGAAGTTCATTCAGCATTAATTCCAGTTCTTGTCGTTCCGAGGAGATCAGGAGTATGTCATCCGCATATCTAAGGTGATTTAGGTATTTTCCGTTAATACATATTCCTCTGTTTTCCCAATCTGTTGATTTTATTATGTCTTCGAGGGTCAAGGTAAACAGTTTAGGTGAAATTATATTACCTTGTCGGACTCCTCGTTTAACTTTTATATTCAGATCTTGTGCCTGTTACGTTATTAAAATTGTCAGAACATACTAATGTTTCTTCAGCTGAGGAACCATTGCAAGGTTCAGATTCTAATCGAGATCTCAGTGAAGGATGAATATCTTCAGACATTTCCGAATTTAAACAAGCACGTTTTAAGGTTACCAGGTTTTAGTTGCTGTGGCAGCTACTCATGCTATGTGTGTAACTCAATGTGCTTATAATTATTTTTATGTTGCGGGAGAATATAACTTACACGGGACAAAAAATAAAAATAAATAAACAAAATAAAACGAAAATATTGAAAAATAAAGAAGATACAAAAAATACAGAGAAACCGGTGATGAGATACCTGCAAAATTTATTGGCCCTAGTACGTCCAGAATAAAAGATTTGATAAGCTATTAGAAGAAATGCGGGCAACAATATATTCTTAAGTTTCAGGAGCTTTAGAATTATGATATTCAAAATGTGTATCTTTTTGGATGTGTGCGTCAAAATTATATTAAACAAAAAAGTAAATACAAGACGGCATCCACTATTAAATACAGTATTTAAGCAAGCAATTCGGGATTAAAAATTTGCAAACAAGCTTTTATTTCGGTACACGGAATTGGTAATGGCCGAGTGGAATATATTATAAATAAACTAAGAGAAGATTCTGTCCGAAAAGACCAAAGGGGTAAACACGAAAACCAAAAAAGGAAGTACTCGCAATATGAGATTGAAACAATGCATCGTTTTATATATTGCTTGCCACGATATGAAAGTCATTATAGTCGCAATAAAAACTTAAATAAAGAATATATGAGTATGGAGTATAGTCTTAAATTTCTATATGAAAGGTACAAAGAAAACTGCCAAATAGAAAATCCACTAGTTGTTTCTTGTGACAAATTTAGAATAGATTTTACAGAGGATTTTATTATCTCATTTAATACTCTTAAATATGACACATATGTGAAATATGATAAATTTTAAATAATTATTAATACAGCTTAAGAAACTGGAAACATTGTAAAACTTAAAGAACAAAAAAGTTACAAAGAACTAATCTTCTTTAAAGAATGGCTGAAGCAGCGAGAAAGGTTCTAAAGCAAGCAGTGAATAAATCAAAAGTAAATGAAAATGTTCATGTTGTAATCTTTGACCTCCAACAGGCTTTACCCACTCCAAATTTGACTACTGGACCTTGCTGTTACAAAAAAAAACTTTGATGCTATAATTTTAGTATCTATTGCCGCAGTCAACCTTTGATGGGTATTTTTTCCTTTGGCACAAAGCAATTGCCAAACGAAAAATAAAATTGCCAGTTGCCTAAACAAGTATATTGAAAATTTTGAAGTCCTTGTAGAAACACTTTTGAAAAATATCATATTAGAAAAGACATTTCGTTGTAACTAGTCTCAAGAGGGAAGATATTTTAAATTTTTTTCATTTAAGAGATCAGTTTGATCAAACTAATTTTGGCCATAAGCAATAGTAGTATACATTTGTAATTTAATATTATCCCGTTATCCCCATGTCATATAAGCTTATACAACATATTCAGGACTTCCCAGACAGATCAAATTAAAACAAAAACAGGGTAAGCCCAATTGTTCAATGGAAGATTTTGTTATGAAATTACCGATAAAGTATCTAGAAGTTTTGCCCATCGAAGAGTCGAAAATGGTACATGTAATGTCTTATCTTTAGTGGATTCCTCCAATTTATCATCCGTTCTACTATTCACTTACCTAATTCATAGTGAATATTCCATTATTCTCTATTTGTAAATTCATTTGTTTAATGTATTACCTACTGATCCTTTGCTGTTAATAAACTTTTGTTAATTTAAATAGTTTTTTCTATTTTCAGTTTGAGTGAATTTAAACCTGTTAAACTGTCTCACACAAAGTCGTGAAAACTTGTCAGGGACTTTTTCTCAAGCTTTGTTTCGATAATTTGTGAAAAATTAAAACATGTTTATCGACCTTCATGGAAATCTGTATTTTGCAAACTGCTACTATAAAACAATTTGTGGTTATTTTGTTGAACCACGTACGTAGATTTTTTAGCTAGGAAATCTTTCGCCTTCTTGGTCATTTTTTTTCACTTTTCCTATTCGTATTACTTAGTAATAGTTAATAAATGTCGTTGCACAGGTAATTTGGCCAGTCGAAAAACAAAACATTGACATATCAACTAGGTATTGCCATACCGCTATAGAGTTGTTTTTCCACGCTTTGTTTATGAACGGCTGGAGCAGCAAAACATATTACGTGACAATGTGACATATCAGCATAATGTCTACTTATAGTCAGAAATTTTCTATCTAAGGTATGGGATTAGGTAGAACTTGATATATAACATATCAAGTTCTGCCATAACTATTAAGTAACACCTTCACCACAGAGATATCACTCTCTATGGATTTGAAGAAATGTTGCTAAATAAAAGATCAAACCAATAATCTAATTTAAATCTGTTAAAACCCTTCTGATATTTTATTATACGGCCTACTAATATTATACTTTTTTTCTGTTTTACTTCACGATTTCTGAAAACTGTTTAAACTTATTTTGTTGTATAAACTTATTAAACTTGTGTTTAAAATTATTTAATTATTCCATCTGTCTTTTGGGAGGGATTTCTTTTTTTTTCTTTGCGTGTCATATCAGAACTATCCGACTTTGGCGATCACCATTGCGAAGGCTTCTTGATGTTCTGCAATGTGGAATAATTGTCCTGCATTTGGTATCTGAGTCCATTCGCGAATGTTTTTTAGCCAAGAAGCTTGTTTTCTTCCTACACCTCTACGACCCTCTATTTTGCCCTTAAGGATCAGTTGTAAAATTTTATGTCGACTTCCCCTTACTATATGTCCCAGATAAGACATTTTTCGATGTTTAACAGTCTTAAGTAGTTCTCTGTCTTTGTTGACGATCCTTAGTACTTCTTCATTAGTTTTTCTTTCTGTTCAAGGTATCTTCAGCACTCGTCTATAAACCCACATTTCCAATGCTTTAATTTTATTCATAATCGATACTTTTAGCGTCCACACTTCTGCACTATACCAAAGTACATACCAAACATAGCACTTAACCATTCTTTGCCTTAGTTCTAAACTCAGATGGTTATTGCAAAGAAATGACTTCATTTTCATAAAAGTAGTTTTAGTCATTGCTATTCTACGTTTTATTTCTATGTCTGGATGTAGTTGGTCCGTTATCACAGTTCCCAAATATATGTCATTTTGTGAACTTTCTCAACTTGGACTCCGTTCAATTAAAGATTTGCATCGGGATGTGGGTCACGACTTAACGCTAAAAATTTGGTTTTGTTTGGTTTATTTTAATGCTCATTTTCTCTTCTACCTCGTGATTACGATCAAGCACAATTTAAAGACCTTCAATATTATCTGATAGAATTACTGTATCGTCTGCACTCTGCATATCTAATCACATTAAGTAGTTACCCGTTGATTTTTATTCCATATGGTTGTCTCTCAAGTGCCTTTTTAAATAGCTGGTCCGAGTAAACATTGAACAATGTCGGCGACAAAATGCAATCTTTTCTGACTCCTCGTTGTATGGGAATTTCATCGGTGTAGTTATCTCCAATTTTTACGATAGCAGTTTAATTCCAGTACATTTTTTTAATGACACGAATATCCTTGTCATCTATTCCGATATTTTTCAGTATTTGCATCAATTTTACATGCTGTACTTTATCGAATGCCTTTTCGAAGTCCACAAAACATGCAAATACTTATTTTCTTTGGTCACGGCATTTTTGTAATAGGATGTTAAGCGCAAAAAGTGCCTCCCTGGTTCCCATAGCATTTCTAAATCCAAATTGGTTATCTTCAAGATATTCTTCGCATTTTAGTCTAATTCTGTTGTGAAGTCTTCTGAGGAAAATTTTAAGAGTGTGGCTCATTAGGGTAATTAATCGATATTCTGAGCATTTTCTTGCATTGTGTTTTTTAGTTATTGCAATAAAGATGGATTTGAGCCAATCTTCCGGAATCACTCCGGTGTTATATATTGAATTAAAAAGTCTTACTACTACTTTTATGTTATCATTCTCTATTAGTTTCAGCAACTCAGTTGATGTATCATCTGGACCACAAGCTTTTCTAATTTTAGCATTATTTATAGCATGTCCTACTTCGCATTTCATAATTTCTGGGCCGTCAGTACAGTTTTGGTAGAATTCGACAATATTATTCCTGTCATCTTCAAACAACTCTGATATATACAGCTGCCATTCTTTTTATTTCTTGCTTATTTACAATTTATTTTGTTATTAGTGTCAACAAGTACAGAGGGAACTCGTTTTTTAAATATATTGCTTATTTCTTTTAGTTTTTTCTGCACATTAAATAATTTGATCTCCTTTTTTATGTTTATCTGCAGGTGTCTATATTTTGTTACATTAGATTTTATAAGTCGAAGTTGTTTCATTAATTTCAGGATGTCGTCTGTCATCCACTTATTTTTCTTAATTAAGTTTTTTCTATTATCATTGTTTGTGGAGATTTCGTTAACTTGGTTTCTTAAATTCACTCCATAGTTCCTCTGGATCTTCTAGTTGTTCCCCGATGTTTTTTATTCTATTGTTAAATTTTTTTTTAATGTTATGTTTTATGTTTATATCGTCAAAGTTAAGTACATTGGTTATTGGTTTTTGTCGCTGAATTTGTTTTAACCTTAGTTTAATATCTGCTACGAGTTGTTGATGATCAGATCCAATATCTGCCCCAGGATATGTAGTGACTTTTTTGACGGCATTTCGAAAACGCTTATTTATTAAGTAGGTATATAGTCTATTTGATTTCTTGAGGACTCAGTGTTATTGCCATCATCAAATGGGGCTTTCCAAGTGTATAGTCGCGCTTGAGTAGTTTATACCAGGTGTTTGCAATGATCATATCGTTTTCTTTACAAAATTCATACAATCTCTGTCCTTGATCGTTAGGTTGTTCTAAACCATAAGGACCTACAGTCTGACCCCGTCGACCTTCCCCAATTTTTTCACTCAAGTCGCCTATAATATATAAATTTTCGTGTTTATTAAGTTTATGTAAGATGTCTTGGATTTGATCATACAACTTCTTGACTTCATCGTCATATTTTCTATCTGCAGTCGAGGCATAGATTTAAAGTATGTTAATTTTAAATGGTTGAGTATTTATTTGGAGTAATATTATTCTATCCGAAACTGGTACGAAATTGGTCACATATTTACTCAGTTCTGATGTTACTAATATACCTACACCATTTTTGTGATACGGGTCTTCTGTGCTGTTACCGGAATAATATAATACACTATGGTCCTGTTTAAATAATCCTGACTCTGGCCATCTCATTTCGCTAATTCCCAGTAGGTCTCTTTTCATTCGTTTTATTTCTTGAATTGCGTTGTCAAGTTTCCCAGCCGACTTCTAAAATTCCATGTACACATTCTAAAATTAGATTTCTTTATTTTTAGGACTTCTTTACTAGGTTTTCGCATGTTTACGACCTGAGAGGCCTCGTGGTATAAATATGTTTCTCCTCTCCTGCCGAATCTTGGCCTCCGCTTTCCATGATTAGTAACAGTTTGAAATTGCAGTGTCAATTATATGGTTATTTTCCTGTGGATGCTCTATGAGCCGTTAATGCAGTGGTTACCCTTTGTCTTCTGCATTATTATGCCATTGACCATTATTTGTTAATTCATCCGCCTTCGGGGCCGATTTCTCACTCACCAACTCATCCGCCCTAAGCCGTTGGTCAGTAAGTGGGGAAATGCTTATACCGGCAATCACTCGGATGTCAGAGCCTCATTTGTTATGTAGCAGGATGCATCGGATGACCATAATCAAGATCATCACGCGGGCAGGCAAGGTTGACATTTGAATAGGAGAGGCTATACATTGGGCATCACTATCCCTTGCATCACTGAGAGGGATTTAACAATCTGTTTTATGAGGCGTAGCTTTAAATAATGGGGAGGATGTCAAATCTCCATTGACAAGTGGTATTTACGGTCCTGACTATCCTATACAAATAGAAAAGTTAGGAGCATTAATAGCTTGTATCCCAAGCGGTACACTTCTTCTTAACATGCCATACACCAAAGTGCGTAGGCGACTATCTCATTACTAGAATTCTGTTCTTGGCGGCGTGACACAGCTCACCTGTATTGTGTATTCCTGTCCATTTTTTAATATTCCTTAACCAGGACAATTGTTTGCGGCCAGCTCCTCTCCTACCTTCGATACACAGAAGATCTTAATATTGCTGCACATCTAAAAATAAGAGTGACTTTTTTATAATTTCACAAGAGAATTGTGATAGAATATTTAATTGTAAACAATTTATTTGGTTGGAACTTTTATCTGGTTTTCTTATTATTTTAAATATTATTATAGTACTATAAATACTTTATTTTAATTTAAATATTTTTTAGGTAAACGATTATCTAGGTGAACTTTCTACAACAGGAACAAGCAGTTATGTACTAAACCTAAACCCAGGACAACACATCCTGATGATTTGGATCCAAACCAATGGATCCTACTGTTTACAATTCTTCTCTAATACCTACCTTTGCATTGGAAATCTAGAAGAGACATTAACGTTAATGAACAATGACCCTTTATTATTTAAATATGCGTATTTAAAATTTACAGAAGATTTACAGAACCTGATTTACTCCTTTGGAATAAAAGATGAATTTTTAAGTGCTTTAAGGTAAGTAATTCAGTTAAATATTTATATCTTCTTCTTCATCTTCCTCTTTCTTTATTATTTAACCTTAACCCGCCGCCAGTGTGGTAGACTGAAATGTAAAAACCTATGTGGTGGGGTATCAGATACCACAAATTAAAAAAAAAATGAAATAAAAATAACACATTTTTATAAAATTTTTATTGTGATTTATATTTCAACATAATATAACCAACTCAAATCAAAAGCAACTAGTGTTTAGAAACAAATTGCAAACTTAATACTTAAATATTTCAAAAAAGTCTCATTTTACAGCATAAAAAACATTACACTCATTTTTTGTCGATTATAAAAAAAAGATCAGAGAACTAGTAAAAATAAATGAATTTTTGAAAAAACCATAACATTCAGAATACATTTTAATTGTTTTTAGCTAAATAGCAAGAATCACAATGCACCACTGAATGCTCTAAACATATAGCTTTTTTTACAAATCATACAATTATAATAGGTCTTTCTGTCATTTTTTCTCGGGCAAACGTTACATCTTTTGGCTACTTTCATTCGTTTACCTGATTGCACTTCATCATTTGTTACAGTTCCTTCAGGATGGACTTGTAAATTTCGCGGAAGCCTTAAGTTGGTAGACCGAATTTGTTTGTATTCTGTTAGCAACTGTATTGCTAATAATTTCAAAAATTTCCTTCGTTTTGACTGAAAATCGCCAGTATTTTGTTGATAAATTACTCTAGTATTTATACCTGCACAGTTGAGTATCGTATAAAAAATTGTAATGGGCCACCTTTTGCTATTACGTGAAACATCGTATGAAGCGGACAATTCATCTACCACATCTACCCCACATTTTGTAGCGTTATAAAAAGAAATTATTTCTGGTTTCTTACTTTCGCCAGTATTATCGTCAATATCAGGAGTGTGATGTAAAGTTAACATTAGAAGAACTACTTTTCCTTTTTTTGGTACATGTGAAACTAACGTTATACTCTCTTTAAATCCGAATTTTGAGGAATATATTGGCCTGTTCCTAGATGTTATAAAACTTTCAGGTATTTGCCTTTTGTTTTTTCTTACAGTTCCAGTAGACGTCAGTTGATGATCTTTTAAAAGCTTCAGCATCAGCTCATAACTTGTGAACCAATTATCGAATGTTACATTTCGTTTGGTTCCAGATATCGGAGTTACAAGTCACAGAACTACGTCGCTAGGTTTATTGCTCAATTGGAAGGGTCCCTCTGGCTGCAATCCCACGTATAGTTCTAAATTCAAAACATAATATGATTTTGCATCAACTAGAGCGAATATCTTTAATCCGTATCGTGCAGGCTTTTTCGGCATATACTGGCGAAAACTACAGCGCCCTCTAAATGACTCCAGCTTTTCATCAATAGTAAGGTATTCGCTTGGCGTATAGACGTCTTGGCTATTTTGCACAAATTTTTCGAAAATCGCTCTAATTGCAGTCATTTCATCAAGTTTTTTTCTTTCTTCTCGATTTTCTATATTGTCAAAACGTAGACAAGACTGTAAAAAAATAAATCTTTGTAAAGACATCGTCTCTCTAAACAAGCTTATTCCGGTTCCATCGGTAGACCAAAGATCTTCTAAATTAAGCCGAGCACACTTGAACATCCCAGCCAAGTACAAGAGTCCAAACAATGCTCTTATTTCAGTTACATTGGTTTCGCGAACTGTATACTGATGGTTTTCATCGTAGCAAGAGGCCTTCCTTCTTATTTTTATATTAGTATAACTTACGATATCATCCGTCAAACTAGGTGTAAAAAGTAAATTAAAGCATTCTAAGGGAGTTTTCGCCATTTTTGCATTTCGTTTTACACCTGGTAAATGCGTAAAGATATTTACTGAACGTGTTCTTACATTTATAGGAAAGCATGTTGAATACCATTTAGTGCCGTCCTTACCTACATAATGTTTCTTTTCACTCTCCTGTCCTTGCCCCAAAAGTTTATTTTCGATTTCTGTATCAGCCACCGACTGTTCTAAATCAATAGCATCTTCCTCGCTGTCAGAGTTGTGGCTACTGTTGTCTTCATTGTCGGATTCGTTCTCGCTTGCAGATCCAATTACTACATCATCGTCTTGAGAATCGTCCCATAAAGCTTGAAGCCTCGCCTGCTCCCGTTCATATCGATAAGCCATAATCTAGAACAAAAACATAAATAATTTATGTATACAATTTTACATTTTCATTAAAAATAAATAATTTCAACGGAAATTATATAAAAATGTGAATGCCCAACTCAAATATTACTACCATAAATATATTAACTTACCTGTGTGGTGGGGTATGTGATACCCCAACGACGTTTGAATCAAAACAGCGATGTGTGAGTTCACTTTTAAAGTAAATCAACAACTGGGACCTCCTTCAAGGTTTTAACGAAAGGTACTGAAATGCCTGTCACTCTAATTTACCGATAAAAATATTGGCGCTAATTTTAAAATCACTGGGGTATGTTATACCCCACCACACTGGCGCCGGGTTAATATTTCTAACCATGAATTAGAATTTCATATTGGATTTTATTTAACATAATAATGTTTTCATCTGTTTAAGTTACTTTGGTACTAATCTGTAGCGTTTTATATTATTTTGCATAGTTTGTTAAAAGATGATTTATTCTTAGGGTTACAAATAAAAACCAAAAAGATTTTATTAAAAATAATTAAAAAAAAACAATACAAACTACTATTTCAGGGATTTGCTTTTCTGTTAATGTAATTGGCGCAAGTCAAAACTGTTTCGAGAATATGCTCTTTATATACAAGTTTCAAACATATATGATATTGGTGCTGAGTAAATCTGTTTAGCTTTTTGGGCAACAAAAACGTCGGGAATTCGCATTTGCATTATTTGGTTTGACAGTTTTAACTGAAATCGCTTCATTTCCCAAAACATTTTTAGTTTTTTGCATTAGTGGAATTGACAGTGATTATTGCTGGTCCGACGAATAATATACGACTTCGTAAGTTACTTGGCAAGTTCTGTTACATATGTTTTTTATATAAGCTTGGTGTTTGTATTGTTATAGTAAATAATTTGTTAATTATTTAGCAATATTGAGTACAGATCAAAAAACAGTCAGCTTATTTATATTGCTTCTCCATTCGGCTGACATTTGTTTAACTTCCATAATTCTGTTAAATAAATCTTGTGTCCTTGCTTCTCCTAGTTCTGTCTACACTTTGACAATTAAATCATTTGGTTAAACTGTTTTACTTATTTTTAAAGCTTTTGTTCTATTTACTGGTTATTTTGGAAATCATTGCTGGTACTGTCTCCGTTACCTTACGTGATTTTCTGTTAAATTATTCATTTATTAATCTGTCGAAGTACTTTTTTCGTCTATTTTTGACATTTTTCTGTAAATTAGTATTTTATTATTTTCATCTTGGATGATATCTGTTGCAAATTCAAGCATATTATAGTCGGATTGCTAATCCCAGTCCGAACTGTCTGGTGAATTTAGTAATTATTTTCTTTTTGTAAAGTTAGTTACTTTTTCACAAACTAGAAATGTCTGGAAATTACTATACAACCAAGCATACGTGTTGATATAAAATATTAATAGTAAACAAACATTAACAAAATAGAACTTTAAAATTAAATTACCGACAATTATTATTTATTTATTTACGGCTTATAATGTACTGATCAGAAATAATGAAATGATTTGTTGTAAAAAATAAAAATAACCTATAATAAATAACATAAGACCAGATGGCAGAAAGAGGACAGAAGAACCAATACAAAAAGCGAGATATCATAGCTGTTTATCTTAAGGCATGTCATTTAAAATTAAAATATAGATTAAATAATATAGAATTTAACATCCTATATTTTAACTTAGGAATTAAAATAGATAATATAATAAGTAAACAATTCAATATACCAAAAATCCTTTATCAAAGGTATTTAATTTAAAAACCCAATCGGGCTATGTTACACAAAACGTTTTCGGAATCCATGTTCCATCATCAGTGCCCTAAAACGTGTATAACCACTTAATTAAAACAAACGTGAAATTTAGATTTTGACCAAGGTTAATGCAAAATGTGGTTAATACTTATTGGGTATAAATGTATGAAGCCACTAAATATGTGAGTAAAGACCTGTTAAAAATTATTTTTTAAATTTAGTTTACATTATGTGTTATTAATTATTATGATAAAAAATTGTTTAAAATCCTTTATAAAAGGTATATAAAAAATGCCCCAAACGGGCTATCACAAACACATTGCAAAACGTTTTTGGATTGATAAATCCATCATCAGTGCAAACGGTTGTACATGCTAGTAGCCGTCAAAATATATGGGTCAAAAATGAGAGTGGTCATTCTGAATATTTATTATTCTGTGACAAAAGCCAACGTTATTTAAAATTGTAAAAGTTAAAATAAAATAATATAACAATATTAACCATCAATGTTGTTGTTTTAAATTATGTATGTGGGATGAATTGTGGTGAAAGAATTATGTGGTTATACTTAGGCAACCACCTATGTATGTGTCCAATAGTGTTATGAATTAGATATTCTAATATAAGGCCCTTTATGTTTCTTTAACATTTGGTACCTAGAATATGGAGACTAGACATGTGTGGGAAGTTGGATTCTTGAACATTTATTGTTATTAGTTGGATAGGAATTAATATATGTTATATTTGAAAGTATTATTGAGTGAATAAAATAAAAACTTTTGTAATATAATGTTTATGTAATATTTAACTTATAACTTAACTATAGAAGACCCTGTATGTCAAAAAGCAGCATTTGGTACCTAGTAAATGTAAAAAAATTTAAATTACAAGTTCATGAACATAAATATCTGCTTAATTGTTAATGGACGAAGTGGTTTAGTTGTTTTTTTTGTGTTAACAATTATTTGAAATAAGCAAAATTTGATGGTTGGGACGTGGTTTTGTGATATATTGATCATATTGTACTCAACTTATAACTTAAGAAATGGCCCTATCTCTTATA